GTATGTGCGCGCGCGAAAAATGCCATTATTGCTTTTATATATCGTTCTGAAAATTCCAGCAAAACAATGTTTCATTGAAATGTTTTGTTGTTTTTCTTGCATTTGCTTTGCGCTCAGCATCGTCGCCGTCATCATTGCATTTTATTCAGAAGCATTCAATTTGCATGGAGCTGCGAAATAGATTGCAAATGTGCTAAAATAATTGTGTGTGTGTGTGTGTGTGTGTGTGTGTGTGTTCTTGTATTAAATGCTCTTTTTTTCTCATCTAGTTTTGCATGGCATTACTAATCTGTACACGGCTCTTTGATTCTTTGACTTTGGAGCGCAAACCAAGCGAAAAAATGTGATGAACTCGGCAAAAGAAGTCACTTTTTTTTCGCCAAGCAAAAGCGAATTGATGCAGTGAAGTGAAGACTGTGTCGACAAAGACTGAATATTAGATGGAGTGAAAAAGAGAAGAATGAAAAAAAAACACACACGCAAAAACCAACAACAAAAGCAATAATAGCACAAAAAGAATAGGACAAGATATGCAACGAAGGGATGAATTTCAAGAAGAAACATTTACTGCTGCTGCTGCTGCTGCTGTTGCGCTGCTACTCATCATTCGAAAATTGGCGTTGTGCGTCCAATGTAGTCGTTTTGAAATTCCCTTTGGTCGCTTCGCGTGTAATACGAAATCGTCTCACGGTTTGCAAGCACATTTAAGAGCTAGAGAGCAAAACGCAAAATAAAAAGACCTATAAAACAATTTGACACAGAACGCTCTCGCAGTTGAAAATCGCACAAAGAAACACACAGTGGAAATGAAATTAAACATAGAATGTTAAAGCAGAAAACTAAAAGAAATAATGGAAAAAGATGAGAAATGAAAAAAAGAAGCAGCAGCAGCAACAACAACAATGCCGACAACGACGACAATAGCAGCAGTAGTAACAGAGCCGTGGCACCGTGCACAACTCAAGAGTTCTGAAGTGTGCACACAGAACGCGAATCGGACATACAAATGTATTTAGAAGAAGTATCCAAAGCATAGATATGTTTACCAGAAAAACAGTCAGCGAGAAAAAGAGAGAAAACGAAGCGAAGAAAAGACATTTTGCCGGCGAGCCGTGCGAGCAGTAATAGCGAGGGCCCACCGCATATGAATATGTATATTCATCATGAGTGTCGGATGGTCGATGCGCGCATATAAAACACAGTGATTATAATATCAAACCACAACACGCTAGAGAGCAGAGAAAATAACCATCAAACAAAACGTAAAATGGCATAATATAACTGTTTTATACATAACTTCTTATAGGTCAATGAATTGTTCTGTGTGTATACGTTTTGGATCGGCTCTTTGCGATGTGACTTGCTTGCTCTCTCTCTTTTTCTCTTTTTGCTGGTTTGTTCCTCTATTTTTTCTTAGTTTTTTTGCTAGCGTTTTTCTCTAATATATCTACGATTCTTCCTCAGAGAATCTTCTTCAGTAGATGTGAGCGTGTGTTGTGTGTTTAGTTGGTGGTTTTTTTTCGCTCATTTTCGTGCTCGTTTGTTCGCCTTTTTTTTATTACCCAGTACATTTTTGTACGATTCGGCGATGAAGATGCCATGAAGATGGTCTTCTTCCAGCAATGAATTACGACTTTTTTCACTTGTTCGCTCGGAAACATACGCATACGAAAAAAAAACTATTTCTGCTTTACTTTGCTCTCCGTACACAATCAATCTCGCTCTCGCGCTCATTTCTCGTTAATTTCTTTCGTTTTATTTTCATGTAAATATTTTTTTTTTATTATTACATTTCATTGCTGCAGTTTCGCGTTTAATTTCATTTGGCTCATTTTTCTTATTATATTTTCGTTGATCTTCACCTTCGCCATTTCTTTCACTCTCTGTTTTCTCCCACTTGTGTGCGCGCTAGTACATTCACTTCGAATTAAAATGCCAAAAATGAGAAAAAGTTGTGCAATTCGTACGTTGGAAATTAATTCAATTTCGACGACCATAGAAATGACAATGAGCTCACTGATGCCAAGCCAACCATAGTATGCCATATTCCAACATTTAGTGCTTTTTTTGCTCTTCTCTTTCTCTTTTTTTTCGGTCATCGACAAAGAAAGAGAAAAGATTCTTGACAAAGAACACTATGTGTGTGCGCGTCGAACATTGACAAAATTTCAAAAAAAAAGAGAAGTTTACTTTGTTCAGCGTATGAATTGTCATCTTGTTGCCAAGTGCGAAAAAAACGACATGGTATTCATTCGGCACATACAATGAAATCAAGTTTAAATCGGTCATCGCATGCACTAGGAGTCAAATGTGACTCTCTCGGCTTATATACGTGTATGCTTATTTGCCAACATTACCGTAGCAAAGAAAAGAAAAGAAAAAAAAGCAGCACACACAACAACCAATAATTGACGATTGAAAGAATCACGGAAAAATCCGAATGTGGAATGCAGCCGCAATGTGAAATTGCCGTATGGGTTTTGTTTCATTTTGTTCAAGTTGAGTTCGGGTCGACACGACAATTCGATGATTATTTTACAAATAGAAAAGCAATAATAACGTGTGATTGGGAGAAATGTGGTATTCAATTCTTGTCGTTATGGACACACAAGCGCATACACACCAAAATATCCATTCTTCATTCGCGGGCGTATCAATTCAAGTCAGCCAGTTGTTCATTTGTTTTCGGGCATTTCTTTTATTTGCGCTCGGACATTGCCACAGCGATAATAAAAATAAAATACGAATATATAATAACAACAACAAGAAGAAATAAAAATAAAAAATCTTTTGTCTTTAATTTTATGTTCATATCTAGCTTTGTTTTTTGATTGTGCTGTTGGCATAATTCTCTTCGCGAAGTGAATGCGATTATAGTGCGGACGACAAATGAATTACGAATGAAGGTAAATTGTGGCATCGATAATTTTTTTCGCATACGAAAGCGATGTTCGATTGGCAATTTCAATGTTGAGACTCATCTTATTATTATTATTATTTTTTCTTCAGTTGTTCGTTCTTTGATTTTTACTTGCCGTTGTTTGTATTAGCTCTTTTATTTTCGGTCTCTCTTCATATTTTTCTCAATTGTCACATTTCATTTACCCACGATATTTAAGTGAAATGTGTACATACCCACTTATGCACAGGAATTTCAGCCTTTGACCACAATGTTTGCACTGTAAGAAAATTGAGAAATCACAGAACGATACCAGAACACAATAGCGGATCAGAAGAAGAGAAGTCATCATCAATAGAAACGAATAAAAAACCAATATATATATATTCGAGCATATAGAGTGAACGACAGAGAGTGAGATAGAGCCTCGCGAATGGCAGCCAACTTGCAGAGTTGTTGGTTCGTGCTGGGTGAGAACAAATCAACCGATAGATGCACGATGATTGCCACAGTGGAAAATGAGCCACATATTTATTCAGCGCATTCGAATATCTTCTCGCCAATCAGTATAAGTTACGGTGTGTGTATCGTGCATATCACAACAGATTAAACACACTATTTTACCGTAGTTTACATATAATCACATGTAATCATGTAAACTGTAGCAAAAGACCAAAGAAAACCATTCTACAGAGTATGTGTGTGTGCGATGGTTCTATTCTCGTTGGTTTCGCAGTTTTCTCACTCGCTCACGATTGCTCACTCAATGAACGAAGAACGAATGAACAAAAAAAATGAATTGAACACAAAAAAAGCCAGCGAGTAAACTAAAATTGTGTGATAGAGATAGATCGAATGTGTGACGAAGTCAATATACACGGCAATTTTTCTGTGTGTTTTGGGTCGTTCTTCATTTGGTCTTTTCAACGTCTCTGTTTTCTTATGTCGGCCGGCTTAATTTCGTGTGCTCTCAAGAGGAGCCTAACGTCAATGTGCACTTCTTAAATCTCTCGTAAACGAACTAAAAGGAACGAATAACAAAAACGAAAGAACGAAAGACAAAAAAACGTCCATCGTGTGTGTATTTCACTATAAGCGAGATAGATAATATAAAAATGCATGCAAGTCTTGTTTGTTTCCATCTTTATTTTCTCTCGCACCATGTGTGTGTGTGGTGTTTGTGTATCTTCTGCCCGTGGATGGATACACCATTTTTTTATATTTCACCGTCCAACTCTTCATTCCTTTTACATAAATTTATCATTTAATGATGTGAATGATTTTATTTTTAGATTTTCGCTTGTACTTTGTTGAATATTAATCTCATGATATTTCCTTCATGCACAATTTTTTTCTCTCTCTTCTCTCTGCTTTCCAGTTCGTGCTTTCGTCTATTTCGCTTTTGGATTTTCTTTCAGCTTTTTTTCTCTTCTTTTTCTCTTTCCATCTCGTCCTTTTCCAGTTTACATAATACATGATTTGTTTTTTTCTCTGTAAGTATTCTATTTATAGAAATTGACTTGTTGATGATGAAATAAAAAAAAAATTGCTATCCGATTACACAGTTTTCATTCTCTCCTTCGGTGTTTCAAACGATGATTATAGGTATACACGGATGGTCGATTTGTGCTCGTATCGAACCATCTTCGCGAATGTGTGGTGCTGAATTAATAAAGGTATTTTCTTTTTATGTATATTATCTCGTTCCTTCGTATTTCTTTAATTCAATTATATTTTATTATGCAATTTTATTATTTCTTCGTGATTGCCGTAACTCATTTTTCTGGTTTCGAGATGAAATTGAAAGAAATAATAGAGATACAACAACAACGCCATGCAGAGATATATCATGCTCAAGAGGAAGTTTCAAATTCGAATTACTTCATATTTTTTTTTATTATTATTAATATTGTTAAGTGATTCTCTATCGAGGCAAAATTGACATAATTACATTATTTCGCTGAAAATATGAATTTCAACAAAAAAAAAAACATTTTTTTTTGGTATTTTCTTATCTTAATTTTTTTTTTTTTTTTTTTTTTGAATTTTCATTAGAAAAAAATTTTATTTGAAAAAAATCCTAAATTTCTACGGTACTCACCACTCACTTTTAACTGTTCACACTTGGATGATAGAAAAGAACACACTTGATTGTGCTTATGTAAAGAAAAAAGAATTGTTCACTTAATAAAACTAAGCTTTTTGTTCTGTCGTTTTTCTCGCTCGGTATTTGGCGATGCAAATTTTTCGAATAAGAACACCACTTCAGCGAGTTCTTCGAAAAAAATAACAAAATTACGATCCGTCTTATGAATGAAAATGTTCGGTCAAAAAAGCACAATAAAAAATCGCGCACACAATCCTTTGCAGAAAAAAAAAATAATAAAATTTCCCTTTCAAAATGCAAACTGATTGAGCGTATTTGGATTCCAATTGAATTATTTTCGGTAATTTTATTCCATGTGTTTTGACGTGGCGAATCTTCGATATAAAAAGTTCTTTCGTATTATTCGGGAAAAAAAGCGTGCTTAATGCACTTTAAAATAAACACTCAACGATTTCTTCGATCGTATTTTTCACTATTATTCGTTTCTTGGGGTTCGTGCCTTTCGTTTTATTTTTCTTTCCTTCACAAATAAATGTGTCGAACGAAAAAAATGATGATTTTTTTTTTATTAAAATGTTTCCTTTTCTCGGGTTGGGAAAAAACAACAAACTCTTTTTTGCTGTTCAGCAGCAGCAGGTCGCCGATATAAATTCTGTTGAGTTTTTCACTGCTCTTAAGCTCGACGTCTTCATTCGAACACGTACAGCGTAGTTCTCACTGGTTCAAGGCACCGCACATCACATTTAATCGAAATCTTTCGTTGAATTGATGTGCAATACGAAAAACCGGGTAGATTATATATCAGAATAGAATTCCGTTTACTGCTGCTCTGCTGCTGCTGCTCGTTCACTCTCTCGATGTGTTCGCGCGCGCGTTCTCTCTCTTTCACACAATTGTGTGTATGTCGTGTGTGTGTTTTTTTTGCGCGTTCACACAACGTTTGGAAGAGAGCGCGGCCAGTGCCGAACCGTTTGCCACAAGAAGAAACGCAAACACTCATACGCACCGATGTGATGATGGTGATGATTCGGAGAGTGTTAGCGATTCTAGTGGTAACGACGGCAACGGTAGACGAATGATTACGCTATGAATGCGGTACCAGCTCAGCTGAGTCAGTCAAGTGCTGTTGGCTGTTATTGTTGGCCGACAGCGAACTGAGAAAGAATGTTGCCGAATTCAATTTTCGATGGTGTGTCATTTTGTTGATTCTCTTTTTTGTACCACAGCAACCAAAGCACCACACAGTCATTGAATACTGTTTGCACATGTCATCACATTGCGGACACCGACCGAATACATCTATTGTATATTGGCTGATGCATTTCATTCGGTACTTTACTTTTGGATAATGGAATGAAGCTTAGAGAATTTTTTTTTGTGTTTGATGTTGGTGCATAAATTGTGTCGAAAGCAGATAGACATACATACGAGATAAATAAAGAATATATATACAACGGATTGGAAACACTCTGATTTGAATCTCTGTGCAAACAATGCATTTGGTAGAGAGAACATAAAGTGGAGAAACAAAAGTTGGAGAATATCATTTGGTGTGACATTCAGAGAGAGCGAGAGAGAAATGGAGAGCAATGCCAATAAGAGAAAGAGTGAAAGAGAGACGCGATTAAAATCACACATAGTAAAATGACTCCAAAACAAAAACGACAGCGATAACGAGTGGCGACTTTCGCATCCATGCACCATTCGTAATGGAAAGTTGGAAAGAGAATATGAGCCGGCATATGTGTACACGAATTCAATACTTCGCATTTTTGTGCAATGGATGCTCACTCGTTCACTCCCTTTGTCATACTTTGTCGGTATCTTTTTCATTCAACAATCAATTGAGTTAATTCTCAATAGCGTCGAGAAATAGAGCACCAAAACTTCGGGTAATTCTTAACAAATAATGAGGCTGATTCATTATTCTGTGCACATTTTCATCAAAGCGACAGATACAAGCAAATCAAGCCTTCATTAGACTTCGTCAATTGCATTGTTTTCGGTGTGTATCTATGCACATACACATATGGATTTATCTATCTCTCTCTCTTTCAGTAATAATAAGAAATTAGCGGATGAGGATGAGCAAAGAGCGAGCTCATCAGTCTCTCAGTTGGTTGTCATGTGTGTGTGTGTGTATCGCATCATCATTGCTAGAGCAAAAAAAAATACAGAAGAAATGCCATCCATTGGATTGAATGATGACGATGACTTTTGAATTACATAGCCAAGAGGAACAGGCCTACAAGAGACTTAAAATCAAGTGGATTGGTCGTCGTAGCAGCTCGACGAGTGCTTAACATGATTTCAGCTCTTGATTTGTGTATCCAAATATATATGGCATGCCGTCATCACACACTTACCCATTTCTAGTTCTGTCTCATTCTGGTGCGCTTTGCATGTTTGTGTATGTTACAAAAGCCGGCTCTCTCAGCGCAAAAAAGGGGTTCCTTCGCAATCAATATGCGTGAACGTTTTCGAGAATGCACCGTTGCCCTGTCAGTCTTACATTGTATGTATTTTGTCTTCAGGAGCTTCAGCCCATCAAATCCAATAAAAAAAAGACAACAAAAAAACGATCTGAATAAAATTATGAAATTGGATGAGGTGCCCACAGCAAGTAACATGAGAAAATAATTCACAACAACAACGTCATTTGTTGTTTTTAAGGGTAAACAAGGGAAACGCATCGAACAAACGAACACAGTTTCATGTCTGGAGCTGTGCACGCGAACGTCAATAATATATTCTTAATTTGAATGCCATCGCAACAATATAACATGTTGAGACAGCTAATACGAGCATGATACTAACAACACACAGCATCTCGGCCGTGTGTCAGCCGAAGTGCTAAAAATCGGGTGTAAAGGAATATATCGTCCCAATGAATTGGTTATGTTGTTTTTGTTATTCTTTTTATTTTCGTGATGCTCGTATCTGGAATGTGTTCACGCATTTTACTTGTGGACGTGCGAGTTAGCATGAGAATTGAAAGTCGAAAATGCGTTATACAAATTCAGTCAATTCTAGGGACCAGTTTATGCATCGTGCATTCAGATGCTTTTCATTTTTACCGATATATTGGGACTGTGAAAATTATGTACAGTTAACAATTCGATTGCTGTTATTTGATCTTCATCTCGACAACAAATCAATCTCGTTCCAAAAGTTAAAATCATTTTTTTTTTATTTTTATCTCTTCCACTTTCGTTGTGCGTAACTTGGAACACGCTTATGACTTGTGTACACAAACAAAATTTGTGTATTTGGAATGGAATAGCCCGCACACGCACAATCACACAATCGACTGCAAACCGGACCGAATTGTGAACAAAAAAGACACGCTGCAGCATGCAATCAAAAGAGTGCACGTCATGTTGACCACCGGCACTTTTCTCATTACATCACGAGCGAAATTCGTTGCTCTTTTTTTTCATATTCACATTTCAACGAAGAAAAATGGCAACTTATCGAATACGCCCAGAATGCCGTTTGTTTTTTGTATATATTTATATGATGAATCACGAATTCTTAGGAACCGTTTCTTGAAGAACTGCCTCGTGCAGTGCAACATTCTTGTGCACAGGTCATCATAAATCCGTTTTGTTTAAAATGACTGCACTCGATTGGCCAACAATTACGTTGAACGTACACAAATCAGTCTCTTCACCAATGAGTTACAAACTGAACAATCAAACAAAAACATGGAATGATTCATGAAAATAAAAGCCCCAAAAATTGAAAGCCGAACAAACATTGAACCAAATTATCGTGTTATTATACACATTTTATACATCATAAAAGAAGCCAGAAGAAAATACCACAAAACCATTTCACGCGACTCAATCTCAAAATGTTTTTCTCACTCGTTTGCTCACACACTCTCTCTCTCTATCTCTTTCTTGTAGCAATTCCATTCACAGTCAGTTCATAATAATAACAATATTTCTTGTATGATTTTCGTTGCTGGTCTATCAACTCACAAAGTGAGAATTTCATGAGTTTATTACTGCTGCTGCTGCTGATGCCTATGTTTACACTTTGCGCAGTTGTTTTTTTCTTCTCTCAACTGTGATATTTGGTTATCGAATTTTCGTTCTTCTCTCATTTCTATGCCTCTTTAATTTTCATTTTATAACACTATGTGCCTATGAAAAGTGAACACATTTCAATTGTTTTCATGACCTGTAGGCATTCCAGTAGCATTTTGACATTATTATTTTTTTTATTCCGTTGTATGTAAGCGGTGGTTTTTTCTTTCTTTCTTTTTTAAGTTTCGCTACATTCTGGCTCTTATGTATGCGCACAATTTCACACGTGTTGTAAACGAGCTGCCGGGCCACCATCGCCAAAAACGTTTTACTACAATTGTCGACGCGTGCATATTCGTCTACTTTCATCCGTTTATGTGAAAAGAACATGAATGGGCCAACCGGTGAGTGCGCATAAAGTGAATGGCCAACTACCACATAGAATTTCAACAAAATGAAGGAAAACGAACAAATGATGAGAACAAACACACAAACGCATTCATCAACATAAAAAAGAAATTGATCTAAATTTCATTAATTTGCGATTCATCGAGATATTTAATTTGCATGGAGAGATTGGAGAGACATTTTAAACCACAAATTCTCTGCATTCTTTTTCGCCTCTAGAACAGTACGTAATTGGTATGTATCAAACATCTAATTCAGACGACAATCTGACTGACGAATTCACATCACGTACACATCTCATTGACTGAAGCTTCTGGACTGAAAGACTTGGACGAAATGTGAAAGAGAAAAAAACGTAACAGTGAATGCACAGAAATGACAACGATTACCTAGGGGATTTTGTGTCGCAGATACTAATCGAATTTGTTCTTGATAAAGTATCGCATTTTTAGAAAAATAAATTAACGCATTTTTCCAATTCAGTTTCACCTTCTGTGAAAAATAATACAATTAATTTTTTGCTTCAAAAGATTAGAACTTAGAACTTTCAATCTCTGGACTGTTTTGAATTGGAAATGAAGTGATGATCATTAAAAACTTACACATTTTGTGTTTGATAAAAAAAAATCTTGAATAAATAAATTCCCCTGGGCAATGACGACGATTTCGACGACAGCAACGATAATAACGACGATGATATAAAAGAACCGTATGTGCATACGGTACTAATAAATATGCGGATGTGTTACCGCACTTTGGCATAAGGTTGCCGAATGCAAAAGGCATGTATTCCACATAAATCAATACACACAATGTCTTTAATCAGATTTACCCATATATTTATTCAAAGAGTAATTCACCGCGATCGAAACCAGCCGACGAAGTCGCGCTCACATTCACCATATCGTTGGAGAGTGCTTTACTACACATCGAGAGAAATAGAAAGCGCGACAGAGAAAGATAGCGAGAAAAAAAGAGAGATGGACATGCATTTGACTTGTTCTCATTGTATTCTTCTTTTTATTCTCGTTTTGTACTAAGTGAGTGTATTACTGTTGTTGGGTCGAAATCAACCAAAAATCAAATTTCGTTTTTGTTATTTGTTTAATATGTTGAGCACGTTACACACTTGAAATACCAGTAAAATGGCAAAATGTCGACGACAACGATGACAAAAAAAAGAACACTGACAAGTGGCTTGAATGAAAGTATATACGAATCTTATTCTTCGCGTGTGCTTTTTTTTGCTGTTGATCCATTGTACAAAAGAATTTCGTCGCAATGAAACTTTGCGGGGCCATAAAACAAGTA